CCCAGTGTCAGGTAAGCAGTGCTGAGAGCACCCCACCCCACCCCTACACACACACACACACACACACACTTCCTGGGGTGAGAAAAGGTTAGAACAGGACTACAGGATGGGTAGAAGATAGGAATATGCAGCAGAATTTGGCAACACCCCCCCAACTCAGCCTGCTCTAACCACTGTGTATGGTTAGAATAATTCTGGCTTTCTGCCCTCCCTGCCGCCCCTCAGCCTGGATCCGGCCACTGCTGCCGCCTACTACCACCCTAGCTACCTGGCCCACCACCCCTTCCCTCACCCAGCCTTCAGGTGAGAGCCCCAGGCCGGGAGATGCGGGCGCCGCGGCGGGTCCGGAGGGGGCGATTGTGTTTCTCCGCACGTCCAGGCGACGGCGGCTGCTCGCCTCACCTCCCGGGGGCCGCGGGCTGAGTCAGAGCGGAGCAATCAATTACCCTCGCATTGGCTGCCGAGCCCGCACAGAAATAAGTACACTTTATCCACAATTGATGGTTCCCTGGGTGCCTCAGTGCAGTGGTAATAAGGCATTGCAGGGAGGTCATTTGCCGCCGCAGCAGGGATTCCTGCGGCTCGGCTCGTAACGAGCTCCTTGAGCACGAGCCCTCCGTGTCGTGCCTGTGTCTGAGCTGCTCCTCAGAGCAGCGCCCGAGCCCCTCTTATTATCCCCTCGGCAGCGAGAGCGCGAGGAGGGCCCCCCACCGTGTTGGCAGAGGATTTGGAGAAACTCTCCCCTAGCTAAATAGGCCGGAGGGGAAGCCACTGGGCCTGGGCCTTGCACTGGAGCTCTTTGACATGATGACCCCCACTGGGAGAGGCCCCCAGCTCTCAGGGAAGGGGGTCTCGATGATTTTCAGCCCAACAGATTTGCCGGGCGGTGTGTAGCAGCAGGGTCAGGCTGGCATCTGTATCCCAAAACCCTTTATACACAAGGAGCCTCCTGTCCCGCAGCAAGTGCGGGCTCTCAGCCTCTGCTCCGGGGCCTGACAGGTTCTCTCCCTCCAGGATGGATGACTCGTACTGTCTGTCCGCCCTGCGGTCCCCTTTCTACCCGATCCCGACGCCAGGCTCGCTGCCACCGCTGCACCCCTCGGCCATGCACCTCCACCTCTCGGGGGTGCGGTACCCCACCGAGCTGTCTCACTCGTCGCTCTCGGCCCTGCAGTCTGAGCGGATTTCCAGCCTGACGGCGGAGAGGTAGCGAGCGGTAGTCTGCGGGATCGGGGTGGGAGCCGGGAGGGGAATTTCGCGGGGGTGCTAACATCTCGCTGTTCTCCCGCCCCCTCCCAGGCTGCAGATGGACGAAGAACTGAGGCAGAGGGAACGGGAGCGCGAGCGGGAGCGGGAGCGCGAGAAGGAGCGGGAGCGGGAAGCCGACCGGGAGCGGGAGCGGGAACGGGAGCGGGAGCGGGAGAAAGAGCTGGAGCGGGAACGCGAGAAGGAGAGGGAGCGCGAGCGGGAGCGCGAGCTGGAGCGGGAGCGGGACCGGGCCCGCGAGAAGGAGCTGAGCATGGTCAAGGCCATGGAGGGCCCTTTCCTGCCTGTGTCGGAGCTGCACGGGCTGCGCAGCCACCCGGCGGAGGAGCGTGTCAAGCCGGCCGAGCAGCTGACGCCCAGCAGGCCAGGTGTGTCCCCGTGTGCTACCGTGGCCTGGCTGCAATGGCAGGTCACAGGTGCTGAGGAGGCTGTGGCAGGTGGCGGAGACCCTGCCCTACCCCCATATGCCTTTTGCCAGCTGTGCAGCAGCAACAATTACAGCACAGCCAGTAATTGGCAGTAATTGCAGGGGCATTGCTCCTGGACCCACACAGGACAGTACTGAGGATAGACGACAGCTTTGTCCTACCAGGCCTGGGCAGCAGCAAATGCAGCTTCCCGGCCTCCTTCTACAGCTGGGGAGGTCAAGGAGGTGGCCTGGGTCACCAAGGAGGCTGTAGTGAGCTCAGCCTGGATTTTGCATGCCAGGGGGGTTATCAACTGAGTTTCTGGAGAGCATTGCAAGCAGCGAACATAGACTGTGCAGGCAAGCGCCCTGGCCTGGTCTTCCCTGGCTGGGCTAGGGATCCCTGACACTTCCCCCAGTCTGTGGAGAGAAGGCTAGTGCTCCCTGAGTCTTGCCCCGCTCCCTTTGATGCCTTTGTCTCCTTTTCCCACAGAGAAACTCAAGGACTCCAGTCTGCAGACACCCAAACCTGTGCAGCACCCTTTGCACCAGCCCCCGACCCCGCACCACCCCGTGCCCAGCCTCATCTCCAACCACGCAGTCTTCCCCCTGCCGGGGAGCAGCGCAGCCACGGCGCTCCTCATCCAGCGCACCAACGAGGAGGAGAAGTGGCTGGCACGCCAGCGGCGCTTGCGGCAGGAGAAGGAAGACCGCCAGTCCCAGGTGTCCGAGTTTCGGCAGCAGGTCCTGGAGCAGCACCTGGATATCGGGCGCCCACCCAACCCCCCGGAGGCTGAGCACCGGCCGGAGAACCCCAGGTGAGGGCGGGATCCTGCGCCGACCTTGGTGTGGGGCTCAGCGGTGACGAGCAGACAGGCCTGAGCAATTCCTGTGGTTCAAAAGACACGCGAGAGCCTAGCTTTTCTGGAGCCCGGTCGGCACCTTTGCAGGGCTGGGCAGGGGTGGCTCTCGGGGCTTAAGAGTCTTTTCCTGTTAGGTCACTGGTTCTGATTTGGCCCACAACAGCGATGTAATACCGCCCGACATGTGGAAGGAGCATGGGGGCCCCGGTCCAGCTGCCCGTCACCAGGTGTCACTGGTGCCGTTGCCACTAATTGCCGCTCGCGCTGGCAGTGGCTGCAGGCAGACGGCAGAGCTGGTGCGAAGCTCAGGGTTGCGGCACCCTGCCACGGGGAAGCAGCCTTCGGTGCCGCTGTCTCTTCTGCTTACCCACGTTCAACACAGCAGTGCAGCCTCGCTGCCCTTTCGCCAGAGCACAAGAGCCTGGACGCTTTGCGGGTTGAAGTGGCTCACGGTGCCGTCTCTGCGGGGCTCCAGCTGACGCCTGGGTCCAGCAGGGAGCTGACGGTGGCAGGCTGCCTTGCTGAGCAGATGAGGCCTCCCCCGGCCAGCTGCCAGCCTGGCCCTGCTGCACAGCTTGTCTGTAACCCGAGTGCTGTGCTCGGGGTGGGGAGCAGCCAGATGCCAGGCCCCCTTGCACTTCTCCCACTGGCTGGCATGGGCTGTCTCACCCCTCCATGCTGCCAGCTCCTCCAGCCAGCTCTGCCTGCAGGCCTCATTGTTTTTGAGGAGTATCAGCAGCACTAGTCAGGTGGAACAAGGAGCGGACTATGGAGCGACACAGCTGCTCCATGCTTCGTGCTCCAAGCCCCTCTTGGGCCCAGGACGTGGAGAGCAAAGTCACTTCTAATACAGATCTGGGAGGAGAGCACAGGGCGTCGGACCCGTCTTCCAGCCAGGCTTGCCTTAGCAAGGGCAGGGGTGGTCTGTGCCTTGCAGCTGGGCCCAAGGCAATGGGTGCTATGCTGCCTTGCTCAGCACAGGTGCTGGGGGTCCTGGGGAGGGCCTGGCACTCATGCTTGGGCACTTGATCCAGGCCCGTCCCCACTGCCTGCCAGGCCCCTGCTCCCGGCGGGTGGTGCAGCCTGGCGCTCCCGGCTCCGTGGCAGCTGTGATGGCAGTGGCAGTGCCGACGTGCGCTTGCCGCTCCGCCGCGCACAGGACTGCTGCTGCAGAGTGGAAACCTGCTAAATGCACAGCTTTGGCCCATGAAATATTCATCGCGCTAACAGTGTGATTCCTTCGCCAGCTACTTAAGAAAGGGTTCGCGGTGTCCCTGGCTTTGTGCTCCCAAGCGCGGGGCCCTCCTGCCTGTGGGAGAACAGAGGCAAAGGCCGATTAGTTTGCCGTGGCATCCCCAGGAGTGGATCCCACTTAGCACAGACTGGCCAGGGGCCCTGCTCTACAAACCAGGGCTCCCAGCAGGCCTGGAAAGCCACTCACACGTAGGAAAGGGCTGTGGCGTGGTCAAGAGACCTCCTGGGGGTCCCAGAGCTAAAGAAACCTGAGATGAATAAAGCAGATGGGTCCAGAGCTGGGAGCCCGGTCCAGTTAGGGACCACTGGGAGACTGAGGTGACCAGTGGGGCAGGTCAGTGGCATCCCCTTAACTCTGCCCCCGAGCTCAGCTCTCGGTGCTGTTGTGCCAGCCTGGAGCAGGCCAGGCTACGAAGCAGCTGAGCCTCCGGCGTGCTTTGCCTGCTGCAGTTAAATGGGCAGCCACTAGGTGTCACGGCCATCACAGCCGACACTGGGCCGACGGGCAGCGTAACGTAGCCGGGCGCCTCTCCGAGAACTGATCTTCCATCCTAAAGTTAAACACCTCTGTAACACGATCACGTGCCTTAGGTTTCTCTTTTTCCTACTGCCAGCGCCCAGCGGCTCCCCCGAGATGTGTCTTGTTTCTCAAAGGGCGCCCGGTGTGTTTTTCTTGCCGTGAGAAATCAATCCCGCCCGAGGTGTTTGCAAGGCCACGCTTGCCAGGAGAGTGGAGTGTGTGCAAGCCAACGGGCGCTGTCTCCCCGGGGGCAGGGTGGCCACGCTGCCTCGCAGCCCCTTGGCTGCCGGTGCCTGCACTGCTCCCCCAAAGCACCCGTCAATCGTGCCCACAGCACCCGGAGAGCATCCCTGGGAAAGCCTTTCCCCTCTGTTAAGTGTGAGGGAGCCAGCATGGAGCTATCTGCTGATGCTCGTGCCACCGTTGAGCTGCAAATGTGCTAGGAGAGCCCTTTAATGGGAATATAAGCCCCTCACGCTTCGTGGGGGTTGAATGGCTACAGGGGCCAACTCCCCTGTGGCTTTGCTGTAAGGCGGGTGTCTGCTCAGTGGCCTTGTTTCCTGCTTGTGCCTCACTGTGGGTCTCTGTCCTTTGCAGATCGGGACCAACCCGCCACGAGCCAAGCGGGCGCGAGCAGCCCCAGCACTTCGGAGGGCCCCCGCCGCTCATCTCCCCCAAGCCGCAGCACCACCCCGTCCCCACCTCGCTCTGGAACCCCGTGTCCCTGATGGACACCAACGTGGAGCCGCGCCGGGTCCCGGAGACCCACTCCCTGCACGCCCACCCCGCTCCCTTCGAGCCCAGCCGGCAGGCCATCCCCCTGGTGAAGGTGGAGCGGGTCTTCTGCCCCGAGAAGCTGGAGGAAGGGCCGAGGAAGAGGGAAACCCTGGACAAATACCAGCCTCCACGGGAGCCCCCTGGGGTGACCGAGCACGCTGGCTTCCCCCACGCGCCCTTCCTGGCCGAGCTGGAGAAGTCCACGCAGAGCATCCTGAACCAGCAAAGGGCATCGCTCCCACAGCCCGGGCAGTTCAGCGACGTCAGCCTGGCCAGCAAGCCCAGCTCGCCCTACCGGCCCCCACTGCCACGGGGCCAGGACCCCATGTACATGTACGACGAGTTCCTGCAGCAGCACCGCAAGCTGGTCAGCAAACTGGACCTGGAGGAGCGTCGGCGGAGGGAAGCCCGGGAGAAGGGTGAGTGCCTCTGTGTTTCCCGGGACTTTGGTGTCGCTGCCAGTCCCCCAGGGCCATGATGGCTGGGTCTGGCCTCAGTCCGTCTCCAAGAAGATGAGGGGGCCTTCTCCTGGCCAGAGGGACTCCCCCCAGGACAGGGATGGAGCATAGGGCCTGGGAGCCCTGCCGTGCCCTGCCCAGCAATGGAGGGGCTGCAGATCCAGACCCCTATGAAGTCCTTTTCCACAACACTGCTGCCGCCTGCTCTCACACCCAGGGTTAGGGGGATCTTTGTGTCAGGAGTGCAACCCCCTAGGATGTGGGGCTGGCCCTGGGCCAGGGTGGGGGGACCTCCTAGGGTCTCCGTGCCCGGCATGCGTGCGGATCCCGCCCGGTGGCAAATCAGAGCCGCCCCGTAAATCCTGCATGCTCGACATGCCCAATTAATAAATGATGAACGGAGGCTAATAAGATGCCTTTAAATATTAATAGGGCTGAGCAAGTGGGGAGGAGAGCGGCTGGGGGGATGAGCCCGTGCTGCGCTGCACAGGGGGGGTGGAGGGGCAGCCTGGGCATGGGGGCAGCACAGTG